CAGGTAATGCATTGGCCAGCTGGTCATGTCTGATTGAAAGAACATATCATCAGGTTGGGTCTCGAGGAAGTCAGCCCGCACAACGCACACTAAGGGCAATCCCCTATCACATGACGAATCATCTCAATACTGTCGCCACACACAAGGAAGTTGGTCGTATCAGTAAGATGCATCCTTTCTCTCAACATTCATCAAAAAGCGGTCCAGGATGGTCAGCCAAAAAAAGGTATGTATCCGTTGAGTCGTAGGGGTGTGCCATAATATCCTTCAAATTAGGTGCAAACTCATTGGCTGGCTATTGTTATCAATTAAGTTGTAAGTAACCTTGAGGGTGAATTGGCAATTTGGTGTAAAGCGCTATGTGGGCACGTCCGCCTCAACCTTATAGGGTACTTCATGGAGCTTCACCACACGAGCTAGGGGTAAGAAAGCACTAACAAAATCGATATTCCAGTTGTCGCTGAGTACCAACTCGGCCACTGAAAGTGCCACACCTTCCAATGCTAAGTCCTTTGCCAACTCAGTAAGAACATACCCATCTTGAAGCCAACGGTCGATCCAAAACTGTGCCTACTGCTTCTTATGTTCTAGATTGTATCTTTTGGGAGGAAGTGGAGGACATGAAGGATGCCTTGCCAAATATTTGGCACTCGTCCTGTCGTCTGAGGTTGCCAACCATCTTCGCCCTATTTCAGATACTTTCTACGGATAACCTTTACCCATAAGCTATCCGGTTCCACCAAGATCCTCCATGCAATCTTTAACATGAATGCATCATTAATCTTTGTGACATCCCCCATCCCTAACCCACCGTCTTCTTTAGGATGACAAAGGGTAAGCCAGTCGAGAATATGGATCTTCGTTCCTGCTTTGGATGTACCCCATATAAAGGCTCGGAGTTTCTTATCGATAATACTCGCGAACACTGGCCAGTAGGAAAGTAGTTGTCTGGTGTACTCTGGTAGAGAAGACAAGGCAGACTAAGTCAGGGTTATCCTAAATGTCAGTGACATCGTCGAGACCTTCCATCCTGCAAGTCGAACATCCACATTATCTATCAGGTCCACGTAGGTGGCCTTGGATACGCGATCGTGAATGACCAGGATCCCAAGTAGCACACGAAGTTCTTCGTTTCCGGGATACCTAAACCATTACCGAGAGAGTCTCCACGAGTCATTGGCACAATTTTGGAGAAAATGTCCGGGACTCCCAGGTCGCACCCAAGTTTCTGGTTTTTCTTTAATTTTAGCTAATGATGAAACTTATAACAATTATATAAAATGAAAAAAGAAAATAAAATAAAATTAATTACGGTTGATTCAATAAAAGCATTTTTTTATTGTCAATTACATCATATGATTTCCAAACCTTTAGAATAAATAATTAATATTCCAAACGAAAGGACTATGTCCTCCTTTTTCAAGTTAGTGATGAACATCTAAATAAAAGCAAGTGGATCAAGAGAAAAGAGTTATGGAAAAGCTACTACGTGATAATTATTTTGAAGGCAAGACATGAAAGCTGGAAGATTTCGCTTTCTGGACAGTTGTACTAGCCAGCCAGAAATTTATAACAATTGCCGAACTCCTTGAATGCTCAATTGCTCATGTTTCCGGGTCTGATATTTGTGATGGAAGTAGGCAGATGCGAGTAACCCGAAATTAACCCAACAAGACAAACTGCGTTGCAAGCATATTGGCCTGAGTGAAGTTACAAACAAGTATACTGGAAACTGGCTTTGAGCCGGACTAATTGGTCGGAAAACGAATACTTTTCGCCGTTAAGATAATTTGGTGTACACACAACGACAATATTTTTGACACCCATAAAAATGTTGTTTACTTTATGGAAGAGGAACGTTTCCCATGAATTATGGCGGTATATAATTGAATAATATAAGTATAGTTTAGAAACTCTGTTTAATAAGAAGGGTAAATACAATTTAATATCCAAACCTTTCATTTTAAACAATATAATAGCCAAATCTTTTCGAAAACAATCTAATATCTAAATCGTCAACTTTTCGTTCGTTTGACCGTTAGTTGACACTTCAAAAAAGCTTTGTCTAGGGGAAATTGTCACGATACAACTTTGTTTTCTTGTTTTGGCATTGCAGATGACTGAATATTTAGATATTCTATACCATCATGGTGGAGTCATAGACTTCTCGGGTTTGGAACTACGATATGTTGGTGGTTTTTCAGAGAAGATATTGATGGATATTGATGAAGTGTCGTACTTCGAACTTTTTTGAAGTGTCAACTAACGGTCAAACAGACAAAAAGTTGACGATTTGGATATTAGATTGTTTCCGAAAAAGTTTGGCTATTATATTGTTTAAAATAAAAGGTTTGGATATTAAATTGTATTTACCCTAATAAGAATTAATAACGTAACCTGTAAATACGTAATCGTGACCGTGTCTTTGATTTTCTTAATTGCAACATATCAAAATTGACATTATTGTGTAGTTCACCGAAAATCATATTTTTTGCGCAAAAATATATAAAATTGGGAGTTGAAACAAAAGAAATACGAATAAGAATAGTGGGAGCACCGAAAAAAGAAGCGAGAGTGTGTGCTAGTGATTGGATGAATGAAGAACCTAAAAGGAACAAAAACAAAAGCAAAGTCAAACTACCTTTTCAATTCAGACAGTTAATGTAGATTATGAGAAGTTGGTTCGTTTGCTTCATGGATTTGATAAATGAAGATTTTGGTTAAAACTTGAGTTTTATAAAACTAAGGATTTCTGATGGAATTGATCAATTTGGTTTTTGAATAAAACCATTGTATGCTTGATGGATTTTATGATGGATTTTGCATAATTATATTTGTGGTTATATTATAAATTTACCTTTCTATCCCTACTATCTCTTATTTATTGTTAGAAACAAAACAAAATGAGGATAAAATAGTAAATAACCATCATGGACTTGAGACACCCACACAAATCCCACCACTTAAGATGAAATTTCCAAGTCCGTGGGGTCTATGGATTTGCAACCAAAAATACTGTGGGCCCCACGGATTTGTCCCTACTAAATCCATCAAGCAAACGACGGATTGTGTACAAAGTCCATGAGAGTTGGTTCTTATGTACCAAATCCATGATGAAATCCATTAAGCAACCAAGGCCTAAGTAAATTTGAAACAACATAAAGTAAATAGAGAAAATATTTAGGGGTCGTTTGGAGAACAAGATTTAGGGCGTAGATTCATTGAATCCATAGATTTTGTAAAATGTTATGTTTTTTTGTTGTTTTTTGTATTATGGATTTTAACTTTAGAGATTTCAAATCTCTAAAATCTACGATATCAAATCTCTCATAATCAGAGAGATTATATATCTTGATTCTTGAGATTTTTTCTCCTATTTTTTCTCTTTTATTTATTTATTTATCATATTAAATATATTTATCAACATAGTTTTTAATATTTCTTAAACCACTCTAATTTTTTTATTAAGGATTAACATGTTATTTAATATGAAATTAAATTTTTTATTTTTATTGAATGTTGACAATCACAGTTACCAAACAATAAACATTTTAAAATTTATTTTAAAAAATCCGAAGAGTAAGAATATTTAAATTGTTGACAATCTATAGATTTAAACTCATATTTTCCAAACGACCCTTGCTATATAGAACAAATTGTTGTGCAGGATAATTGGTTTTCACGACCGAATATGTGAAACTTGACACATTAAAAGGCGTCAATTCCATACTTTAACAAGTTTACTTGCCCCTCATTCCCCTGAACCTAAGTTGAGATGAGCGTACATCCTTTGATGAATATTACACTTGTCGAGGAGAAGGAGGCAGAGCGAAGTCCATTCTTATGGGCAGGGCACAACAGCGAGCAGTCGAGCATATTCTAACCTCGCAGAATATCCCTCCCATTAGCTTGGATATCATAAGATCGCTTTATTTGCATCATAGCATGCTTATAATAGGTACCTCTGATTGATACAAGTGATTAGAGTATATTGACCAACCTTTTTGGCTTCAAGAATGTCCCGTCTAGTGGGAGAAGTGGTCCAAAGCGAGTTGGTATGGTCTAGGGCTTCCGATTCAAAGGCTAACTAGAACTTGTTAAATAATCTTATTGAAACAAGTATTGTGATTCGTGTGAGAGAGAATGATGCATTTAAAAGAAGTTTCGAGAATAAAACTCCTTTCATATGCACAGCAGTGACAGCACACAGGTCTAGCATCTCGATCATCAATATTAGTATGTTACGGCTTTACTGCCCAAAATGTCACATTTGGCCACTGGGATTACTAAATCGTGTTATGTTTAGTCACTAGAAAAAATTACTATCAATTTCATCATTCGAATTACTAAAACAGGTCACATTTAGTCACTCTCCCGTCATCCTCCGTCCAACTCCGGTCACTCGAATTACTTTTTTTTTTTTACGAATGTCACTCAAATTATTGAAACATGTCACATTTAGTCACTCTCTGTTAGCCCCGTCCAACTCCGTTAATGAAGTTGGACGGAAACTAACAGGAGAGTGACTAAATGTGACATATTTCAGTAATTCGAGTGACTAAAATTGATATTAATTTTTTCTAGTGACTAAACATGACATGATTTAATAATCTCAGAATGAATATTACAGTTTCCACTTGATAGGAAAAATCCCGATAATTTCGAAAAAAATCCAAATGTACCACTGTTCAAAAAAAGAATTCCAAAAATACCACATTTTTCAAAAACTGCCACCCCACCCTGCGGTTTATACGAAAACCGTTGGGCAGGGGCGCGGTTTTCTATGCAAACCTCGGGGCTAAGGGGCTGTTATAAAAAAAACTTGGACCAAACTGCTGGGTGGGGTGGCGGTTTTGGGCCAAACCGCAACCTAACCCAGCGGTTTGGTCCAATTTTTTTTTCCCGATCAACTCCTAACTTCGGCCGAAACTTCAAACGAACGTAAATTTGCACTCGGGTATCCGATCGTAGCGATTTTTTTTTTATTTCGCATAACTTTTCAAGATTTACAACTTTTACTAGGATGAAATTTTCAAAACATGAATTAGTTGTGGATATACGGGACCTTGGGAATAATTTTACCTTTACTTTTCACAAATCTATGTACATTTTAAAATTATGATTATATTAAAAGTTGTAGATCTTGAAAAGTTATGCGGAATAAAAAAAAATCATGACGTTTGGATTTTGGAGCACAAAGTTATGGCCGCCCAAAGTTTGACGAAATAAAAAAAAAGCTCGTTCGGGGTGGCAAATGACGTTTTTTCGAGACGAAGGCGGGACCCGGAGGTTTGCGGTTTGCGGCTTACGGCTTGCAAGATCTCAAAAATTTATTCGGATTCAAAAAATGGAGGCCGCAAACTTTTTGAGATCTTGCAAGCCGCAAACCGCCGGGTCTCGCCTTTCGTCAAACTTTGGGTGGCTATAACTTTGTCCTCCAAAATCCGAACGTCATGAAATGTTTTTTGATTCCTCATAACTTTTCAAGATCTACAACTTTTAAGATAATCATAATTTTAAAATGTACATGGATTTGTGAAAAGTAAAGGTAAAGTTATTCTCAAGGTCCCGTATATCCACAAATAATTCTTGTTTTGAAACTTTCATCCTAGAAAAAGTTGTAGATCTTGAAAAGTTATGCGAAATAAAAAAAAAATCGCTATGATCGGATACCCGAGTGCAAAGTTACGTTCGTTTGAAGTTTCAGCATAAGTTAGGAGTTCATCGAAAAAAAATTGGACCAAACCGCTGGGTGGGGAGGCGGTTGGCCAAACCGCCACCCCACCCAGCGGTTTGGTCCAATTTTTTTTTATAACCGCTCCTTTGCCTCCCGGTTTGTATAGAAAACCGCGCCCCCGCCCAGCGGTTTTCGTGTAAACCGCAGGATGGGGTGGCGGTTTTTGAAAAAGGTGTTATTTTTGAAATTTTTTAGGATTGAATGGTATTTTTGAAATTTTTTTTTAAACAGTGGTATTTCTGGGAAAAGTTCCATAATTTCCGACTTCCATCCGACTGACCTGTGAGTTCAAGAGTTTGCTTCCAAAGGATGTAAATCTCACAATGAATGAATGAGCCATTGGGAGAGAGGGACCAATGGGAACTCGTGGCTGGATGAATGAATTGAAAGGTGTAAGTAATTGGACCACGTAAGCGATTGATGTGCGGATGTCCTTCCATCAACGTGGCTCCCAAATCTACGCTTCTTCTTCTTCTTAGAACAAACGTCTCATTCATAATTCATTGTTGAATGTTGATATATTTCGAATCGTAAAACAACTCATTACCGGCCCGACCATCCGCCAGCAAACGTCCATAGTTTTTTTTCCCCCTTCTATTTCAATTTAATGATTTGTATTTTATTTCTATTTCAATTTTCCCCCCTAATAATAGATTTCATTAAGCACCCCTCTTGGTTAAGAGAGAGTCGGGAGTGGCAACAATTTCAGAACAAATCTTGATTCGAGAAATTTAGAATTGATCTGTTTCTATGCAATTTCGATTATCTGGAATGGGCAAGTAAATAATTCATACAAAACGACCCTTTAGCTTCCCAACCGCGAATTGGGATGACATGTACATGAAAACTGTACACGGATTTTCACCCAGAAAACAATATTTGTATATTTGGAACGATCTTTATATCAGAAATTGAGAAATACACTCTTTTTTTTCTTCCTCCAACTACTGTCCCTTTGTGCTATTACAACATTTGTCCAAAAATGAAACGAGGGCATCAAAATTGCAAAGGCTCACAGAGATTTCCGCTTCTTGTTGTGTTTATGATTGCCATCAGTGCTTCGGCCTCCTCTTTTCATACCGCCTTTTCGACCTCCCTTCGCTCCTCCCTAAACAATTCAGTTTTCAGCAATTAGCACAACTTTCCAACTAACTCAAAAAAGCCCGATCCTAAACAGAATCCAATTCACATCACAGGTAAGAAATAACAATCTCATTCTCACCTCAGCGGAGAATGACTTGAGAGGGTCTCCCCCTCCTTTCTTGAACTTCCTTTTAAACCCTTGACGTCGAGAAGGATTGTTCCCCATTGCAGCTCTAGCAAGCTTCACCATCTTACTGGCTTCCTTCGTGGTAGCATCGATCAAGTAATCTGGCACTTTGCGCAGATGAGGAGCAGGTGCCTGCTGGCTCAAACTCTTGTCGTGTTTTAGTAAATCTGTTGAAGAGATCACAGTAATTTATCAGTTGACTCTGACCTCAGGATGGGGAAAAAATAGGCATCTAAAACAGCAATCTACTTTTCCATTACCTAAGTCCCTTGGATTGGCTTCAAAATGAGACTTCAACCTACAACAGAGAAGGCAGTCGGCGGCTCATAAGAAACTCCGGTGCCAAACTATGAATAGAACGAGTTATGGCATGGGGAGGAATTAAGAGGGATCAAATTAACGCTTACTTTTCTGAGTTGAGAATCTCATTCCTCAGATCCTGTGCTCGAGCTTCTCGGACAGCAACTCTTGTAACACTCTTCGCCGTGTCCTGCAAGATATATGTCCATGTTTATCAGCACTCAGCTGTATATCAGGAAATTATTGTCCCTACTTCTTGAGTAAAATCTTTTGGTGGTTCTTTCGGAAAGATAAAGGGAGGGCAAGTCTTGATTACGAACGGAGAATTATGATAGCTGCCAGGAAGATTACAAATTGGAAAATCAGAACCAACGAGCGTAGAGAGTTGAGGGAATTAAGCTAATAATTTACCAAGAGAACCAGGGACAATCTTTTACCTCAGCTCTATACCGTAATGACTCAACAGCGTTCTTAGTTAGCAAAGGGAATGGAGAAATGACATCTGAATTCTCATCTTCCTCATTGCCCAATAAAGATTTTACCTCTTCGAGAATTTCCACCTCATCTGGAGAAACCTGATAGCGTCCACATAGCGATTAAACCAGAAGGAAAGTCTGTCGCAATAAAAATCTGAGGCAGCATTTGGTACGTAATGTTGTGAACAGTCCGAGATGGGAACTCACGAGAGAAACAGAAACACCAGTGTTGTATGCTCTTCCAGTCCGTCCAATTCGATGGACATATCCAACAGCAGAACCAGGCATATCATAATTTATGACCTACAATGGCCAAATCTTTTAAGACATTATAAAGAAAGAAACACAAGAGAGAATATATGATAGCAAAAGCATGAACCAACAGTTATCAAGTACTAGGTAAATCAACTACAGATTGAAAGTCATTCATCAGAACACCATTTGCCATGACAAGCCAAATTCTTCAAGATAACACGGAAAGGACTCAATAACAAAAGAAGGGCATTCCACAAACATATAACACCAGCAAAATCCAGAGATAACAAGTTAAAGAGCTCACACAACATATTTGCCAAGCTCTTTCAAAACTAGCAGATAAAAGTCAATATATTCTACTCCCAACAAAACATAGAGACAAGAACAAGATCTTGATTCAAACTGAATAAACAAGTTAATATGCAACAACATTTTGATTTTTATTTGGGAAAAAAGTTGATCTTCTATTAAGCTCACCATGAAATGGCAGAATCGAGGACTCAAAACAAGTGAATCTAAGATCGACATATTCAGTATAAGCAGTTCTACCAAAATCATTTGACATACCGTGAATACGTTTTTGAAGTCAATTCCCCTCACAACACCGAATTCTGAGTCCAATTTCTGCTTTGGATACTTTTTAGACCTTTTGGTATCAGCATTACTACCTTTGTCAACTACTTCCTTTTCTTTTGCCTCACTCTCATCCCCAGCAATCAGATAGTCGAAAAGGCCAGCATTAAATTCCTGAAAAGAGAAAAATACAGAGCCAAGTCGAGAAACTACAGAAATTGCACGCATCACATACGAAGATCTGCATAAACCATACCATTGTGTCCTTAATGATAAGAAGGGATTTTGACACAAGTCCAATATAAAACATCTGTGGACCGGTACCTCAAGAATATGGAGACGAGAATTTTGCGGCAACTCTGCATTTAAAACAGCAGATTTGATTCCAAACTGCAAAATAAAGCTTATGCATCAGCAGGGGCGGCTTTAGAGATGCGCTCACACTTGTGGGAAATAGATATGAAATGTATTCGAAAATACAATACAAAATTAAGAGTACCTTCTCCAAGAAAAGTTTCAATCTGAAACTCATGTCAATAGAATTGGTAAATATAAGAACTTTTTTCTGTACGAGTTCCAGCTTCAATAGTGCAAGAATATGAACTAACTTGTCTTGATCACTGGTCGAAATCTGACAGCAATATGAAAGAATATATCTCAGTAGGAGAAAAACTTGAAGTATAACTTACAGTTCACAGACAAAACTACGCTGAAACATGATTCATCATGAATATAGATTTGGACACAGTCCATTGACATAAACAGTATAACAATCTTATTACAAAAGGAATTGAATAGACCAACATAAGAGATTTTCAAGCTTAATAGCTTACTTCAAGAGTTAGGAAACTTGTGCTTCACTGTTGAATCCCTTGGCAACAGTTCAGAAAAGAATTGAAATACTTTGATACTTGAGTCAAATGAGAAAACCTTGACCCATGAAAATATCAGAAACTTAACCTTTTATGTTTGACAAAAACAAAATGAATAGCAACCTAAAGTTCGAGATATAAAGTTGATCGATATTGTTTCATCAATAAAGACACTAATTGCTTACCCAAAATTGTTGAACATTTTTAGGAATCACTTCATCCTTCACACCATCAACTTCTGGCAAAGTTAAGATATATGGATTGTGTAGGATAAGCTTCTTGAGTTTATCGACATCATCGCTGCCAAATAGAAGATAATGATCAAAATCATATATGAGATTTAAACAAGGACCTACAAATTCCACATGCGAGGGAATTCCTATGTACAGATCCTGGACAGCAGTAAGACACAATTTAGCAAAGCAGAACACATCACAGGGTGTTCACCATCAGCCACGGCAATGATCAAGCAAAAAAAAAAAAAAAAAAAAAAAAAAAAAAATCTAAAACAGACCTTGATGTGGCAGACATAAGAAGGCATTGACAACGTCTGGGAAGAAGAGCAGTAAGAGCTTTTAGATCTTCTTCAAAGCCAAATGATAATAAGAGATCTGCCTGAAAGTTATCATAAATCAATGACTTAACAGCAAAAAGTGGCCAAGGATATGTAATGGTACTCCAGAAACTGAAGGAAAATACTGAAAGTGCCAATTATGGTCATTCAGAAGTGCTTCAAACTTATAAAAAGAACAAGCAAAACTCAACCCCGAATTCTTTTATGCCCTTTTGATTGAACCATATATAGCTAAGAATGACAATATAATTGCAAATGGCTGGGTACTTTCAGGCCATTAAACAATTCATAGCAAACTAAAATCCATGTGCTGCAAGCGATCTAATATGAGCCTGGGGAACACTCACCTCATCCAGAACAAGTATTTCCAGAGAATCAGCAATTGATGTCGATTGAAGTACACCAGTTGATAAGCACTTGGCAACACCAGCAGGAGTCGAGATCAGAATATCAGGAGGTCCAGACAATGCAGCACGCTGCAAGGAATTAAAAGATAAGCAGCTGCACATGCTTAACATATGGAATAAAAAGACATTGAACCAACAAAGATAGCCCAAGATATATCTTTCTTTGAAGTAGCACAACCTTCTTACAAACCAGAAAGAGGAATAGCAACTAACCATATCAGAAATAGGCATGTTGCTTCTCAATGGCACAGCCTTCAATGGGACTTTACACAAGTCTATGAGTGAGGAAATCTCCTTGTAAACCTATAAATCACAGCAAACTCGTCATCTTCCAGTTGGGAAAAACAAAAATAAACAAAACCACAAAGCATCCCAGCATGTTTAGATCTTTGCCTGCTGACACAACTCTCCACTCGGGACAAGAATGAAGGCGGAAGGGGCATTCTTTTGCTTCAATCCGGAATCAGCAAACAGCTTATGAAGCAAGGGCAGCAGGTATGCTAGCGTCTTTCCAGATCCAGTCTTTGCTCGTGCAACCACATCCTTTCCTTCCTACAACCACCAATACCATCAAGCCGGAAGAAAATAAGAACACCAAAATAAATCCTTTGATTTGGCACCAATGTTACAAACAGAACAAAGAAAATAAAATCAAACAACAGTACAGAACCAGCAATGCCAATTTAGCCACAAGCCCACAGCAAGGATACAAAACTAAGATAGGAAATGCAAGTTTCTTCCACAAATCAACCATATGAAAACAAGGGGATTGGCCAACTAGCTGTTTGAAAACAATGATAAATTTGCATGTATACATAGGCAATTTTAAGTATCCAACTTCTTCACCAAGGAGCTCAACTCGTCAACCGATAGCTGAGAGGTTTTAAAGGTGAAAATGACTTGCTTCTCCAGACTAAAGCGCCAAATTCGAATAGCAAAAGCAACTGAGCTTTGACCAACCAGAATCCACCTCAAGTCTCGAAAAATGAAGCCTACAAGAATGGATGAGAAAATCACCAGTATGAGAGGAATAGCAACGCGTTGAATTGGGGTTGGCTTTGAGATACTAATGTCCTTCTTGCTAAGAGCTCGAATCAACCGAGGGTCCAGCCCCAGCTCGTCAAAGCTTTTTTCTTCGTCTTCCGCTTCGCTGCCGCCGTCATCGTCGTTCTCCTCTTCCGGTTCGTCCTTCACTTTGTTCTCGTGCTCAGCCTCCAGCGGTGGCTGTACTGCTCGTTGTCCTTCTTCCTCAATAGGTTCCTCTTTGATTTCAATATATTGTTTCGCCTGTTTTGCAGGTTTATCTTTAGGTTTCCCCATTGCTGGTTCCAGAGAGAATCAAGATGTTTTGGTTGGGGTTTATAGAGCCGTTTTAGGGTTTTGACTTTTGAAGTTAGTCAGTAGCCTTGAAAGGGAGCAAAAGTAATTATCTTCGGGAAGAAGACGAGCCGGGTGGACCGGACTAATGAACTGGGCGTGGGCGAGGCTGTTGTTTGTTAATTACATTTTTGGGCCATATCCGAACGTTTAACGGCCTATGGGCTGCTAAGGAGAAAAAATGGATCGCGGTTTGGTCTGGGCTACGCAGAATCCCTTTCTCCGAAATGAATATATCTAGTTGTTTGGGTTGATTGGGCCTACCCAAGCTAGTTTTATCCTAGGAAGAGCTACACATGACAATGTTGTTATTGTTCAAGAGGTGATACGGTTGCGAAGCAATTGTGATGGGTGCATACTGTGGTGTCAACACTTCAACAGTGAAGTTTGCAAGGTTCAGGAGGATTTATATGGCTCGCGGGCAGTGTCAAGATCACGGTGTCCAGATTGTGATGCCCGTGAAGTTTTTTAGTGAAACAATGCATTTTGAGCCGAGATAACAGTTTTAATTTCGACTTCACGGGCGTGATGTGAGACCTTAATTTGTGCACTCGGGACCTATATAAGGGATAGTTGGTTGAATTCAAAAGGGAGAGTCCTAGAGAGAGATTGGAGCTTCTTCTTCAAGGTTCAGAGACAGAGAGAGAGAGAGAGCTACGAGCTAAAAAAGAAGGAAGGAGAATTTCACCTACACAAGGCTAAAGGAAGCTTGATTTCTTCTCTAAAGGTCGAATCAAGCATCTAAGAAGAAGGAAGATCATCTTGCTATGAGTTTTTCTGCTCTCTTATTTGTATTTTCACATGTAGCGATGGAGTAGTCTCCAATATCACTTGGATGTTGTGAACCATAGTCTAGGATGTGTTAGATTGTAGGAATTGAACTCTATGTGTGTTGAGTTTGTGATTAATATGAGCACTTCTACTATGCTATATAGTATTGGTGCTTTAATGTACAACTTGAAGTTGTACCATAACATTAAATGTATAAGTTTAGGTTGTACCATAAAGAAATTTGTACAATTATGTTATGTTACAACTTTACAACTTGAAGTTGCACCATCACATAAAGGTACAAATTTAAGTTGTACCATAAAAGAATTTGTACAAAACGTAAAGGTACAAATTGAAATTGTACCATAAAGACAAAAACTTATAGCACCAATATTATATAGTATTGTAAAATTTCTCGATTAATATAATGTTTGAAGTATTATTCATGGAATTTGGGTGTTGATTGTTCATATCTCAATTTTGGGAATAGTTAACCTAGAAGGAGGAAATCCCCTCATAGCCCAATATTGACAATTTTGGTAATCTACTCTGGGGCAATTCATGACATCCCTCATTCATCGAATTAGTGTCATGATATCGTCTTGATTGGTTAGTTTTTGCCATTCCAGATTACTTTCCAAGGGAGTGATTTTGTAAACCTTGGTTGATCAATTAAGAGGCTTAGGGTTTCCTAGATAATTTTGTCAATCCTTAATCGATAGATTGGGAGGCTTGGGTTTTCCCTAGATAATTGTGATCTCCTCACAGTATGATCCTACCTATCTCACTAGAGTTTCATTCGTTGTATCTTGACATGAGATTGGGGGGGGGGGGGGGGGGAATATTCCAGTGATTCTTTCTCAATTGAAATCACCAAAGTTTACTTGCTTGCTGGTTTATTTTTCTCAGTTTTAACCACAATCCGATCGCTAGATAACGTGCAAACAACTGATGTAATAAGACAGAGATTATGAGCAATCTCAATTACATTTGGCGAAGCCTCATGGTGGTTGAACCACAAATGAAAGAATGGAATCAGGTGGAGTGGGAATGAGGGAGAATGTAAGGTTGTGGTGAGATAGATGAGTTCCTAACAATCCAAATTTCAAGGTCAAACCCCAACCTCATGCTTGGGATGACATGGAAAGGTATTAGAACTCATTGATTATTCAATATGGAAAAGCAACATTTTGTAGTTAAATTTCCACCCAGTTGATAGAATCAGAATAGCTCAGATCCCTTTATCAACCAAGCAACATCAAGCAAAGAATGACTATGCGAATGCTCGAGAAAGTTGCAGATGAAGCTATATGTTCGATTGTTATGGCACTATCGTATATTTGGAAAGAACACAGCAACCATCAATTAAACAACACAAAATTAGAAGAAGGGGAAGTGATAGAAAGATCACAACTTTACCTTAATGAATATTGGAGCAATATTCCAGTGATTCTTTCTCAATTGAAATCACCAAAGTTTACTTGCTTGCTGGTTTATTTTTCTCAGTTTTAACCACAATCCGATCGCTAGATAATGTGCAAACAACTGATGTAATAAGACAGAGATTATGAGCAATCCCAATTACATTTGGCGAAGCCTCATGGTGGTTGAACCACAAATGAAAGAATGGAATCAGGTGGAGTGGGAATGAGGGAGAATGTAAGGTTGTGGTGAGATAGATGAGTTCCTAACAATCCAAATTTCAAGGTCAAACCCCAACCTCATGCTTGGGATGACATGGAAAGGTATTAGAACTCATTGATTATTCAATATGGAAAAGCAACATTTTGCAGTTAAATTTCCACCCAGTTGAAAGAATCAGAATAGCTCAGATCCCTTTATCAACCAAGCAACATCAAGCAAAGAATGACTATGCGAATGCTCGAGAAAGTTGCAGATGAAGCTATATGTTCGATTGTTATGGCACTATCGTATATTTGGAAAGAACACAACAACCATCAATTAAACAACACGAAATTAGAAGAAGGGGAAGTGATTGAAAGATCACAACTTTACCTTAATGAATATTGGAGCAATCAATCGTCGGATTCATAGGCGGACACGAATCGCTTTGATATAGGTGGGAGAGTCCAGACTCCAGAAAGAGGATCTTTTAAAATGAGGATCTTTTAAAATTAATGTTGATCCTTCGAAAGTGAGGGAGGGAGGAACGGGTCTGGTTGTGGTGATTCAAGATGAGGATGGTTGATTCGTTTTGGCTATGGTGAGAAGGAAAGGGTCAATTGGACACCAGAGTTCACCTCCAGAGTTCACAAAAGCTCAGGCAACACTCTAGGCCTTAGGCTCGCAAGAATGTATGTTTCGATGTTGATGCTTCCGGAGTCGGATTGCCAGACATTAATATGGAAACTCAACAACAAAGAGGTGCTAGAAACAGAATTGTGCATTGTTATCAATGTAATTCGAGAGTCAAGCAAGGAGATGGCAAACGTGAAGTGGCAATTCTGGGGTAGAAGAGGAACGGAGGTGGCACACGAAATGACTAGGGTTTTATGCAGGTGGGAGGAAACATATATTTAGATGGATAGACTAGACCCCTGTTTTCCTCATTAAACAGCGACACCATTGCAAGTTAATTGAAGTTACAGATTTGTTCTACATATAAAAAAAGATCGAACAAATTAAGATCCCAATCCATCCATCCACACAAAACGGCAATTCTTGAGCTCATCCCCTCGTAGATCAAACCCATTCATATCCAAACAAAAATGCGCAAATCACCCGAAAACAAACCCACTAGGCCACTACATCAAGCTCCTACCAAAAGAGAACGCTACCAAGCTCCCTGCTTTTCAAGTGTGGATGCAGGCTGCCGCCACCATCATTGCGGGCTTCCTTTCCATGCTCCAACCATCAATCTTGCCATTCTCGATGGAATAGGTGACCATCCTTGAAACTACTTCTGCATTTCCCCTATCTACTTCACCTGTTTCATCAAAAGTAAAAGAAACATTGCAACTCATTCATGCTTCTTCAAACATACATATATGTATGTTATTCAAAACAGGGCAACACTGCTACTCATAATTGGTCCCACGGGAGAAAAGAAACTAACCAAGGTCTCCAATCCCAGATTCTGCCTCATCAATCTTGCCACCTACTGCTGCTTCTAGGTGTTCCATGTTACCAAACTTGATCTCCGATAATTCGCTATTGATTCTATCCGAGTTACTCCAAACTTGTTCAACATGATGCTCAGTACCTACAGTTTCGAGTTAAATGACTAGTTGATCAATCATCGACCACCAGTAACTAGAAAGTTTGACATATATGCCAAAGAAGAAGAAGAGCTACCGGTTTCTTCGTTATCAGGAATTTTACTTCCTGCGATTCTGATCTCGCCATATGCTCCCTGTTGATCCACTGAAAGACCATTAACTTCGTCCAAGTTTCTCAAGACTTCCCAAGCATGATCCTCTGCACCTGCAAAATTTCCCCGATATAAATAAAACTTAAAACAGACCCAGCCACTAGGAACCATTCAGAAATTAACAAGGAGCAGCAGGACATGGTCACCATTCCCATCTGCAATATTTGTCTCATCTTCCTCTTGACGACGTCCCACAATGTCTGTCTCACCATAGCTATGTAGCATAGCATCAGCCGAACCATAGGACCATCCACCTGAAAGACTTGCACAGTTTGCAGCAGCCATTGGATAACAAGACTGGTAGCCGTAGTAGTAGTTCCCCATCATTCCTGGTGGCGGGACCCAGTAATAAGGGAGCCCTGAAGTATGCTGATGAAGTAGGTTATACCAGTAGTGGTAATAACCATTAACATAAGAAGAATGGTTCAGGGCAGCAGGGACAGAGTATTCATGGTTTCTTCTGGCGAAATTATTAAAAGCGTTGTTCTTAGAATTTGCCCTTTTCACCTCCACTTGCGACCCATTCAACTGGTAGAATCTGTTCTTCAAAGCTCTGTCCGCTGAATCTTCTGATTCAAAAGTGATGAACCCAAACCCTCTTGGCTTGCCGCTGTGTTTGTCGCACACTATAGTCGCACTACTCACCTCTCCGAAGCTCTGAAAGGAACTCCTAAACTCTTCTGGGGTAATTGTCGATGGCAAGCCTCCAACAAATACCCTTTTGCTTCTTCTATGGCTCTCCCCCTCGTTACAAGCAGCAGTCTCATTATTATCCGTTTTCTTCGGTTTAGGTCTGCAAACATCCACCTACTCAATTCACACAGTAATTCCAGATACATAATTAGTCATAAACCCTGCTACAAGCAAGAGGTATTGTTATAACTTGCAACAGAAGAAAGAAACCTAGCACCTTAGCTTCGTACAATATAAATAACGCAAGAAACAGGTGGGAGTGATAGGGAAAAAAATCTTGAAGAAAAGCTCACCTTTTGGCCAAGAATGATGTGATCTTCATTAAGAGCAAGATCAGCTGCAGATGCGTCTTCAAACTCCACGAAACCAAACCCACGGCTTCGTGAAGTTTGCTTGCAGTAGACGATAAAAGCGTCTTTTACTTGGCCGTACTTTTGAAAGTGCTTCTCTAATTCTTGCCCTGTGGTTGTCCTATTCACTCCTCCGACAAACAGCTTTGATGGCTGTTGCTTGATTTCTTCTTCCATGGCGACAGCAGGAGAAGAAAGAAAGAACAGCCCAGCGAAAACAAGAAGGAAAGAAAGATTTACAGAGAGAGAGCCCGAGAAAGAGGGGGAGAAAGGAAGAAGAAGGAAGCACAGACAGAATAGGGACGAAGGGAGAGGGGATTATTATTACAGTTAGTTTTCCTATTCCTTCCCGGGCTAGAGTTTAGCTAAATCTGAGAGTTTTTTTCGCTTATCAGAAACAAACAAAGGTTTGTGTAATTGTGTGTTGTTTAGTTTCCCGCGCTCTCTATGTAGTTTAGTTGAAGTAAAACTACAATGGCAGCAGTATGTCAACTGGAACATATTAGTATAGTATATTTATTTACCAGCACGGTCCTCTTTATATACATACATACATACATACTAGGCATTCTGGAGTGTCAACCACATATATGCAATTACAAGTTCATACAAAGAGCAAAACATGAACAGAATCTAAGTCATTCTTGATGATTACTAAAAACAAATTCTGTTGTTCAATTCAAGCTACTGGAACTTGGCAGCAGAGGTCAATGATGTCGTTTAACGGAGCGTGATCGCCTGTCCCTTCATCTTTTCTAGCATATAACAACTCTTTCCCCTTGAACACAAACATCCCTCCCTAACATAAAAGAATGAGCACGTCACAATAGAATTATTATCATACGGCCATAAATTACCTTAGTCGTCGATTCTAGTTTCATCAACCATTACTACTTCAGAATGGAATAGACTCTTAGTTCTGAAATAATGAGAAGAGAGAGAAACCTGCTGTAGAACTCCACTTCTATCATCTGGTGTGGCTTCAATAGTGTAGTTTTCCACAGCTTTTCGGAGCGAATCAAATCTCGATAGAACCTTAGCCTGTCATAAAGAGCGAGGAATTCAAACAGTGGATAATAACCCAAAAAGGGGTTCACAATCATCCAAATGGTCAACAATGGAGGAAAAAGTAAACACTTACACTTGCTGGGTTGAAGAATGTTCGTCCAAAACCATAGTATAAACCCAAGACATCGTAAGCCTGACCCCGAAACCAAAGCTTTAGCCATCGATGAACCCAACATAGAGGTGAAACAACTCATCAAAAGGGTACTGCCAAATTTTTACCTTTCGATCGGGATCAGCATAGAGGGAGTCCACTGGAAAGGGTAACTGACAAAATCAAGAGATAGATCATCAGTTCATAATTACTGAAATGAACTGATTCCTTCAAAACTTACTGAAATTAACTGATTCCTTCAAAACCTTTCTGTATCATCCTTTCTAAAGGGATAAAAAGGAATCATTTATACCCTTTCGGAGAACAAGAGGGCTTTTTTAGGTTCACCAACACCAATTGCAATGAGTTTCACGCCAGATGAATCAAATTTTGATTTAACTTCCTTCAACTCTGACGCCAGTTCCCAACTTCAGCCAAAAAAATTGAACAACAACAATCAGAAACCATGGCGGCTCAGTAAAAACCAAAGCTGATCCCCATCAATTTAATGGGGTAGCGAAATTCAAATTACCAGCAAGGACATCCAAAGTGTCTCAACAGTGAAACAACAGCCATCCCCTGCACAATCAAAGTTGTATGAATATCCAGCTCAAAGAACAAAACAGAAGGAACCGAGAAGAGGGGAGACTATAGCTCTAATACCTCGTTCTGGTCCCAGAGATCCTTGAACACGACGGGCTCACCGGAGGCTTTGAACACGGTGACTTCGCCCAACAATTCTCCGATGCTCGGGCTAAAATCGGCAGCAGAGGCACGCAGCACCGCAGGAGGTTTCCTCCGAACACTGCGACGAGTGCTGAAACCGATTCCGGTGGAGTCCGCCCTTGCGGCGGCAGTGGACGGGAAACGGGGATGAAATTTGGGGGAAAGTTGACTGGGAAGAGTGAATGGGGTAGAAGACTGTAGGTATTTCACAGATGATGGGGCGACCGCCATTATGGTAAGCCGAGAGCAGAAAGTGATCCTGGGGTGCAACCACCAGATGGAGTGCTCCGGTGAGGGGATGGCTAATTGGGAAATGGCTGGTGGTTGGAACAGGAAGTGTGGGTGAATTCTGGGCTCCAATAATTCTTGGAGACAAGGACGAGTAAATCAATAGAGGAACAGGGAGGAAGGAGATGAAGCGACGAAGAAAGAGGAGATCGACGCTTTTATGGTCGGTTTGGTGGGTCTGGTTCTATTTCTCATCGACGATGTAAGTTGGCGGAGTAAATCGAGAGAAGAGGCAGAAGGGGAGGAGTAAATCGAGCAAGGAAGGAGAAGGAGAAGAAGGTTCTATTCTTCCTCCGTCGTTTTTGTTAGACATGCGCAAAAAAAGGGATAAAAGATGGAAGGTTGAGACTTGGTCTGGGCTTTTGTTTCTTGGTATTTTTTTCTTTCAGAATAAGAGAGGAAGAAGAGAACGAGGTGAAGACTGAAGAGGCGGCTAGGGTTCCTTGCTCACCCTCTCACTATCCTTATATTGTATTTCCAAAAATAACCAAATGACTCACTTGTTTCTGCATAATTACCCCCTTGCCACCGTCATTTTGTTAAATATTTAAATGATTGGAAAGTTTTTTATAAAACATAATTATTGTTTAAAATCTCTTCTTTTTTTCTATTAATTTGCTAACTACTTGTATTTTTTCATTTATTGTCCGGTATATCCTGATACATCTGGTATTACTCCGAGACGGTAATCTGATTTTGCCGACACGGTTTTTTGACAAAAAAATATATTTTATTATTACAAAAACGGTATTTACCGATATGAAATGGTTGAACCACGGTTGTACCACAAAATACCCTACCAGAAAAGAATTCGGTATAATGTCCGGTACGGTTTCCTTTACCAGGCCAAAGAGGGAGGAGGGTAAGAGAGGGAAGGGAGATGGTGGGTGACTTAGGGGGTTGGGTATGTTGTTTTTTTTTAATAAGTTTTTAATAAATATATTATATATGTTAGATATTAGGCAAATCTCATATTGATAAAGCACGAGAGATATGCATGGTTAATAAATAAGAAATCGATCTTAATTGATAAGACATATTTTGGGGTGAAATGGACGAGTTCTTGTGAGAACTCCGAAGTTAAACGTGCTCAATGTGAAGTACAATAAGGATGGGTGGCCTTATAGGAAGTCACCTTGAATTGCACCTCCAATCAAAATTCGGGAGGGTTAAGGCCCAAAGCAGACAATATCTTCGTCAGAAAAAGGTTCAGGATGTTACAATGTAAAATAAATTTTATTTTAGTCATTAAAGTTTTATATTACTATCTTATTTGTATATATATATTTAAAAAATGTATAAACGTTTTAAATAGATCGGACTCTGATAAGATCAATAATCCTCAATCACTTGCTTGACCGGCTTAATGACTTAAACCGGTTGGACAACCTTGGTAAATAGGGAATTAGGAATGACAACTGAAGTCTGTTGGCTACTTAGATGGATTTTGGATTGGATGTGAAAGTGACCTAATTTTAGAATCATTAGGCTAGATTGGATGTGAGCTTGTCGAAATTCGATTTCTACCAGACTTGTATCCAAAAGAAAAATGGCGTTGTTCTGTATCTAATTTTAATAATTTATATATGTTAGTTTTTATTGTTGGAATATGTAGTTTTAGAGGAGCATTTTGTAAATATATATTTGTATGTGGACTGTGGAGGATATAACGTTGATGTAAGAGGATATATCATACATGGTCCACATAAGCCTCTGCGTGTTTGACAGCTTATTTAAGCCTAATTCTGGCTTTATGCTTGATTAAGAAATCTAAGAACCCTATTATCCACCGTAGAGTAAAGCCTTTCTGAAATGGCGAACCACGTTAAATCTTGTGTTATGACGCTGTAGTCCTAATAATATATATTTAAAAAATGTATAAACGTTTTAAATAGATCGGACTCTGATAAGATCAATAATCCTCAATCACTTGCTTGACCGGCTTAATGACTTAAACCGGTTGGACAACCTTGGTAAATAGGGAATTAGGAATGACAACTGAAGTCTGTTGGCTACTTAGATGGATTTTGGATTGGATGTGGAAGTGACCTAATTTTAGAATCATTAGGCTAGATTGGATGTGAGCTTGTCGAAATTCGATTTCTACCAGACTTGTATTCCAAAAGATAAATGGCGTTGTTCTGTATCTAATTTTAATAATTTATATATGTTAGTTTTTATTGTTGGAATATGTAATTTTAGAGGAGCATTTTGTAAATATATATTTGTATGTGGACTGTGGAGGATATAACGTTGATGTAAGAGGATATATCATACATGGTCCACATAAGCCTCTGCGTGTTTGACAACTTATTTAAGCCTAATTCTGACTTTATGCTTGATTAAGAAATCTAAGAACCCTATTATCCACCGTAGAGTAAAGCCTTTCTGAAATGGCGAACCACGTTAAATCTTGTGTTATGGCGCTGTAGTCCTAATAATATATATTTAAAAAATGTATAAACGTTTTAAATAGATCGGACTCTGATAAGATCAATAATCCTCAATCACTTGCTTGACCGGCTTAATGACTTAAACCGGTTGGACAACCTTGGTAAATAGGGAATTAGGAATGACAACTGAAGTCTGTTGGCTACTTAGATGGATTTTGGATTGGATGTGGAAGTGACCTAATTTTAGAATCATTAGGCTAGATTGGATGTGAGCTTGTCGAAATTCGATTTCTACCAGACTTGTATCCCAAAAGAAAAATGGCGTTGTTCTGTATCTAATTTTAATAATTTATATATGTTAGTTTTTATTGTTGGAATATGTAATTTTAGAGGACCATTTTGTAAATATATATTTGTATGTGGACTGTGGAGGATATAACGTTGATGTAAGAGGACATATCATACATGGTCCACATAAGCCTCTGCGTGTTTGACAGCTTATTTAAGCCTAATTCTGGCTTTATGCTTGATTAAGAAATCTAAGAACCCTATTATCCACCGTAGAGTAAAGTCTTTCTGAAATGGCGAACCACGTTAAATCTTGTGTTATGGCGCTGTAATCCTAATAATATGGTTTTTATGGATGCTATTAGTCTTTATGACAATTGAATTTTTTTTGATAGTATAAGAGTTTTCAAATAAATAATTTACAGTTATGTTCATGACCCAAGAGTACCTTTATGATTATGTTCATCGATTTGAGGTAGATTAACATTTATGGCACTGTAGTACGAATAATATGGTTTTTATGGATGCTATTAGTCTTTATGACAATTGAAATTTTTTATAGTATAAGAGTTTTCAAACTAATAATTTGCAGTTATGTTCATGACCCAAGAGTACCAATTGGTTTGGTTTTCTTTTCCAAAATCCAATGGCTAGTTGCATTGGTTGTGTGCAATGCAAATGTGCTCTTGTTGGACATATATGTCTCTATATAGGCATCGTTGATGTTGAGGCCGTACTGTCGTCGCCACCATCAAGCACCCATGGAATCAAGATATTCATAAAAAGATCACGATGATGTGTGAAATGGACCCCACAAACTATGAGCTTTCCAAGGTGGTGAAGGCCAATATTCACGAGGATTTTAAATCAATTGTTGAGTTTGCCTTGTCAAACTGCAAAGAAAAAAAGCGCAGTGGTAGATTATACTTGGTTTGACAAGTTCATTAAATTTTACAATTGATATTCACATATGTTTCATTTGCAGTAACACTATATTGCCATTGGAGAATGACAATGGTACTCAAGTGTAAAATGCATTGTGTAAGAGAAGGTGCTACCCTGAAAGGAAATGTTATCAATGCATTTGCAAATTGTGTGAATTCAGATGAAGGAGGGTGAGGATGGAGCAACGCGTGAGGGTCGTGATGACACACGTTTACTATAATTGAGACAACCAACAACATTATTTCAGAACCCATAACACCCCATTAAGATGAAGGTAAGGATCCCACTAACTGAATCTAGTTGTTTGCAATTCAAATGTGCCCCTCGTTAAGCATATATGTTTTAAATACAGGCGCAACGCTCGTCGAGGTTGGGAACATACCATCGCCACCAACATCAAGTACCCACACAATCAAGGTATTCATAAAAAAGACCATGATGGTGTGTGAAATGGGCCCCATACCTAGCGTATGCTTACCTTACAGTACGCCTGTCCATTTTTGTTATTTAGATCTTGAATTAGCAGGAGTTTTGGGACATGATACTATACCCTAACTTTTTATGGGTTAACCCCAGTCCCCAATTCTCTAACCCAAACCATAAGATTAATTTAACTTTAACATAAAACCAACGGTTCTTATTCACGGGGACGGGATTATCAAAGTACAAAGAATAGGTGTGAACACAGGAAAATAGCGTATGACAGGTATACGCTAGCCTTTGCCATACATATATATGGTTTTATCATACACCAACCAATCTTTATCGTACATATAGTCTTTATGGTTAGCATAGTTGCGGGTTAGTTAATTATAAATAAAATTACGGTACTAGTACCATAACCTAAAATTGTTACATTCTAATCCACTTTTGTCAGCGGGTTGGTTGCAACTTACGAACCAAAGTCAAGATTTGGGCAGACCACCCAATCTTTTTTTCCTCTTCTCCTACTACCAACCCTTCCTCCATTTCGTGTGCTCGCGCTCTTGCTCTTTTTCTCTATTTCTATCTCCAATCTCTCTCAATCTCTCTCAATTTCTCACCGCCTCCTCCATCTGACAACCAATTGCCCCGACTCAATACTACCATTCGATGCTATGATCAATAGATTCCAATTTGATTATAGTATATTGGATTCATAAGCCCAGTTCTCCTTTGAATTCGATCCAAGTAATTTCAATTCACACGCTATCTTCTATCATCTTTCCATTATATTTTTCAATCTTCGTCTCCGACCAAAACACTTGGCCCAAATCGAGAAACATGGTACACTAGCTGCCTCTCTCTCCAACATGGTTGCATAAGCAGACCACAAGTATATAATAGCACACCTTCTTAAAGCACACCTCAATTCTCATAACGCACACACAAGTTTATTACACTAAATCACAAGTTTCTACACGGCCGTGCAACGCACCTCAATTCTTTATAAAGCAAATTCTGGTCATGCAACCCCATTCTTCCAACCCCAGTCGTCGGAATCCACTCCTCTCTCGGGGAAATTGTGATTTTTCACCATAAACGTCGATTTTCTGGCGCCTACCGACCTCAAATTGCCAAACCCTTCACATACCCATCTCCCCTCATTCTAGCGCCAGTGTCCTTCCATTTTGACGCATGTTGGGTCCTGGCGATTTCGAGCAACATTATAGTGAGGCTCCGACGAGCATTTGCCAGACTGATTTTGACTGTTTCTTTGCTTCCATTTCCTTCCCCTTACCTTCACCCTACCTTTCGATACATCTCTACATGGGTCTTCAGGTTTGATTTCATCTCTTGCTTTGTAAATTGTGGAAAATTGAGTGTTAGGGTTCTTAGGTAGAGAATTGAAATTTGATGCGTGATTAGCTTGAATTGAATGAGGGGAAGGTTTGCCTAGGGTGTGTACATGGTTGTGTAATACTATGCTTGAATGTATGTGCCCTTATAAGCTCCCATTGCACCAAATGCTTCATGCTCTCATACATGCTTAAAAGGTGTTCGATAAAATGCATATAGTTCATGCACTTTTGTGAGGGTTGGTTATTTCCCTTATAGCCATGTTATTAATGGATACTTGCTATGGTTGCGATCTATATGATTCCTACTTGCATGTTTACGAGCACCCCCTCCCAATTTTGATGATATCTATGAGTTTTCGGCTCGAGAACTATGAATGGGAACATGGTTATGTTGAGTTTCTGCGTAGGCGTGGGGGTTTGACTAACCTTCGTCATGCTCTTTTTTAGCACAAACATGGCTTTGTGTTCTTGCAGGACTATGGAAAAATCCACCTCAAGCCTCAGTTCCTCAGGGATTTGAAATTCAGGCCCCGAAGGAGCATTTCAAGCGCACCTTGGCGGCCTCCTTCGGCAAGCACCATTGCTGGGACATGCACACTCTCACCCTCCTCCATTACCATGAGCCACTGAAGGCAGTGGTACACAATCCTATGTGGAGGCGGATGCTTCAGATGCCCGCTAAGGTCAACTTCGAGCCTATGCTCGAGTTCTACTCAACATTCGAGTATATTGAGGCCCATAATGAGGTGACATTCTAGCTTGGTCGGAAGTACCATACTATGATCCAGCTTTCGTCTTGGACCTGTACACGGGCGAGTTCGATGATGCTTTGGACTGCATCGTTGAGAAGGTCAACATGAGGAGGCTCGACTTCCAGGGCTTCTATTGACGGATCACTGTTCCCCAGTCTATCAACCCCGGTAATCCATTGTGGCCCTGGAGGACGAAAGCCACCACCCTCCAGGTCAAGTGGCGCATTCTCAACTAGATGTTGGCCAAGACTTATGCCTCGAGTAGAGAGGCGGGTCACCTGACGAAGCGCTCGATGTACTTCCTGCACTCCATTAGTAGTGCTGATGAAGACCTGCACTAGTGTTATGTTCTAGCGAAGAATTTTGTCAAGGGAGCTTCGACTCTCACCACTCT